CGGACCACAAGCCCGCGCCGCGCACCCCAGAACCCACCCCCGGGCGGGAAACGGAAAAGAGCCCCAGCCAAGGGGGTCGTGGCTTCTCTGGCTAGCGGCCCAACTCACCAGGAGGCCCAGAAGCATCCCGGGCCCACAGCCCAGGCAGAGCCGCCGCCGGCCCAGAGCCATATTCTCCGGCCCGCCGCAGGGAGCGCAGCCTCTTCCGAAGCGAGCAGGATGCTCCGGCCGCGCTGCCTCCCGCTCTGGGGGCCGCTGTTGCCTGGGGTGGGGGAAGAGCGAGGCGTTCAGCCAGTCCCAAGTCCGGGAAAGGCGGTCCGGGTGCGGCGGCGTCCTTAGCCCGACTTCTCGCTTGCGTCGTCGGAACGGCTGGGCTCGGCTCGCTGGAGAAGTCCCGGCGGCTCCTGAGCCGGCTTCTTCCCGCCTTCCGCACCCGCTGGGGCCGCCGCTCCCCCCACCCCCACCGCCACACCGATCGCGGAGCGCCCTCCCGCCTTACGGGCGAGCAGCGTCGCCGACCCCCGAGCCCGACAGGGTGCCAGCAAGGGTGCGCGCAACCTCTCCGAGGGCGCAGACCCTTTTCTGGCGCCCCCGGGCTGTGACGGATGGGGCTCCGGCTCCCCCAGTAGATATTGGCTCTCCGGGGCAGCCGAAGCTCCGAGAAGCCCCTCCAACCTCGCGCCCGGCCGTCGAAGGAGACCTGGAGAGAAGGGAGACCGACGCGCCCAGGGCGCACGCTGGAGAGTCGCGCCGTCGGTTCTACAGGCCGGGAGGAGGACGATCAACGCCCCAAGTCTTCGGGGCCGGGCCGGCTCCGCTCAAGCATCGCGGCGGCGGCAGCGTCTCCCACCAGCGGTGGGCAAGAGGAAGCGGCGGGGGCGCGCCCGCAGGAGGGCCGGGCAGCTCTGCTCTCCGTCCTCCTCCTCCTCCTCCGCACCCCTCTTCCCGGCAGCCTGGCCAACGAGAGCCGGGAGAGGCGAGGGCACAAAAGGCTCTCCCCCTCCCTCCCGGGCAAGGGCCCAAGCGAGGGGGGCGCCCCCGGATGATTCACTGGCAGGGAAAAAGCAGCCTGTTCCCAGGCTTCAGATCAGGGGCACATCTTTGGACCAGCTCCCTCCGCGCAACCAGCAGCCTTGAAAAAGATCCGAGGAGCCCAGGAGGGCGGCCGCCCGGCGGGTCCATCAGGAAACCTGGCAACTCCCCAGGATAACTGGCTTTCTTCGCAGTGGTGCCTCCCAGGCCTCTTCGAGACGAAAAGTCAGAAGATCTGGCGGGTGAACGCCCCCTGCAGCTGGAGGACACCCAAGAGCTGTAACAGAACCCAAAATGTGGGCTGAGGCCTGGTGCAACTCCTTGAACTCAAACCCCCTCCTTGCTCTCTGGAAGACAAGAGCTGG